TCGGTGGGCCCTCCAGAGGCAAACAGAATAGTAAATTTTTTTTGATATATTATTTGGGATTAAAATCAGGCTAGAATAGTTATATCAAACAGTATACTTTATGGTATCAGACAGGCTAATTCCTAGCCAAGTTCAATAACATTATCTATATTTGAGTCAAAAAAGTGCTAGAGCTTTGAATTTAATATTGGAAATCATATTGCAAACTGGGTTCGTAGGCGGAAACGAATCTTTCTGGATAACTTTTAGAAATCTGCACCAGAATCCCCAATTATGCCTATATAGTATACAAATCAGTATATATATGCTAGAAAATTAAACAAAAAAATATAATACAATTATTGCAAGACTTAGTGAAGACTTATTGTCTTTAAAATAATAAAATACTTTTATACTTTCATATAAGCGTATCCTATTCTAGTTATTAATTATATATTTCTTTGATAAAGAACTCTGGAATATTATATTATTATTTAAATTGTAGAGCAGGCAAATTTGCCTGCGAAGTTAAAAAAAAGTATTAATTTCTTTATAAAATATTAAATATTAATTTTAATAATATCATTATTATATAAAAAATATAGTTTAATATGTATTTTATTAACTTTATTAATAAAGATTTTAAGATTTTAAAGGTTTTTAAAATAATTTAATTTTAAAATTATGTTTCAAACAATTTCTTATAATAATTTTTTAAAAATTCTTTAAAAATTTATATTCTTGTGTACTAATTGAATTACTTTATCATTAATTAAAGTCATAAAATTTCTTAATAAATTATAAAAATTTTAATAATAAAAGTTTTACTTTATAAGTAATTTATAATATTCTATTAAGATTAATATATTTAAAAGTAAACCCTAAAAAGTTTATCATAGATTAATCATAAAATTTTTTAATATAAATTTTTTTTAAAAATTACAAATTTTAGCTTTTAAGTAATCTTAAACTTTTTAATATATAATTAAAAGATAAAACTTACTATAATTTATTATATATTTATAAAATTAATTTAAAAAATAAATTTAAAAAATATTAATTATTTATAAAAGTAAATCAGAAGAGAATTTGTAGTAAATAAGCAGGCAAATTTGCCTGCAAAACCCTACGATTTAAGGGATAGTTCGCATTTCAGGTGTAACAACGGATAGACATTTTAATAGAATAATGTGTGACCAATTTGTCATATATTATTTTTTCCTCAGTACATTGGATTCGAATGACCAGAAAGGTCTGAAGTGTTAAGTTGTTAAATAATAAGTGCTAAACACAACTTTAAAATTTTTCTTTTTATCTTTACCTTTACCTCTCCTTACCACGTTGTATATATTATTTCATATTAAAATTTACATAATAATTGTGTTAATTGGTAATTATAATAGTAAGATTTTAAACGTAGAAATTGCATCTTTGGTAATGTACATTCGAATAAATAAAATAAATATTTACGCAATTAAAAAAAGCCAGAATCTTTCATATAACAATTGAAAACTTTAATCTTAGTGAAGTAGACAATAAAATTAGCATCTCGTGGAAGTCTAACTATAATTTCAGTTAAAACAAAAATGAGCTGAAGTGATTAAACTGATAATCTCGCCACTTTTTTTTTACTTTTGATTCCTCTTAAATAGCTTGCGCAAATTTATCAGTTTAATTTTTGTTTGTTTTTTTTTGCTTATAAAATGTTTATTTCATTTAATTTTTTTTTTTTTAAGTAATTTGGGGGGAGTTTGATGCATAGCGAATATGATAAATCTTTGTTTATTATTTTCATTATTTTTATTTTTTTTTGAGTAATATTTCTTCAATTTATATAGGTAATTTTTACTTTATTTTATCATTTTTATTTTATTTTGTGGGCTGTGACTTTTTACTTTAGCTTCCAATTTCTGGTTGACTTATTTTGGGTGTGATGTGATATTTATTATTTTTTTTTCTTTTGCTTAGGGCTATATCCATCTAATTTATTACTCCCGACAATGACGGGGTTGTGGAAAAAGTAGAGGTTTTTATATTTCTATTCAGCAATAGTTTGCTTTTGTCCTTCTCCGGGTATATCGTCCAAAATTTTATTTTTACCAGAAATAAAGTTTTATATTATCGTGGCCACCGATTATCCTTATATAATTTGAAAACCATCTTTTTTTTATATTATATTATAGTATATTCGTTATTATTATGATTTATTTTTAATGGTTTACGACAAAAGGTACAGATGTCAAAAATATTGTCGATGTGAACATTCGATATCCAAAAGGCAAGGTGTGAAGTTTTTTTATTTTATTTCCATTTTAGGGTACTGTATATGGGTTATCGGCTATTAAATTAAAATCATTTGGGTGATCGACTATTAAAATCACCTTACCGATCATATGATTTACTATGTTCTGTAAGGTGATTTTAATAGTCGATCACATATATTCGTTTTTTATGTAATGTAACATATTTTTATTAGATTCAATTTATTTAACTAGCTCAAGCTTTAAAATACACAGAGATTTCTGGCGAAATTTTGTACTACATTGTAATTAAACAAAAATCAAATACTGAAAAAGTAAATTAAGAATTATATGAATTATATTTAAAATCTTTGATTTTTCTATACTTTTTGACTGACTACTAAACTTATGGAAGTAAAGATAAGAACATAACTTGATAAAAGTAATGACTATCTCGGTATTTAGGTAATCGGCTATTAAAATCACCTTACCGATCATATGATTTACTATGTTCCGTAAGGTGATTTTAAATTTGGTTTGGTCGTGATAATTCCTTTTATACTCCTATTGAAAAATCGATTTAAATATTATTAATGTTTTCAAGAATTTTATTTAAAAATGAATAAATTAAATGAATTTATACAAAACTTGTTTTTTAAAAAAAGTAAATGTTCTTATTGTGATAAACCATTTACAGAAAAATTATGGTGTAAAGAATGTGATCCTCGGTGTAAAATTGAAGGATGGACTTGTGGAAATTCGGATATAGATAAATTCATCAAAGATACTATATATGATGCAAGACATTATGTTGATGACCGATTTCTTGAATGGGTGCCCTTTGATAGATTCACAGATATGAAAGAAATTGGTGAAGGAGGATTTGCCAAAGTGTATTCGGCAACATGGATCGATGGTGCATCGAAATTTGAAAAACAAGATGATAAAAGTTGGAAAAAATCAGATCCTGAATCTATGAAGGTTGCTTTAAAAAGGTTAAATGGATCACAAAATATGTCAGCCAATTATTTTAATGAGGTACATAAATTTATATTTGATATTTATTAAATAGAATATTCCTAATTTTTTAACCTTTTATGAAAAAAACTAGCTTAAAGCACACTGGGATTTTAATAAGCAAGATGAAATTTCATTAACGTTTTATGGTATATCTAAGGATCCAGAAACCAAAGAATTTATTATGATCGTAAAATTTTTACCTGATGGAAATTTGAGAAGTTGTCTTTCAAATAATTTTAACAATATTTTATGGAAAGAAAAAATTAATAAATTATATCATGTTACTTTTGACCTTACTAATTTACAAAATTTAGGATATTGTCATAAGGATTTTCATAGTGGAAATATCTTACAAGATGAACAACATTCTTATATTTCAGATTTTGGATTAACAGGACCAGCAGATAAGCAAAATTCGAATGACAAAATATATGGAGTATTACCATATATC